CAGATGACAATATATGGTGAAATGTATTATTTGGGTCATATATTCCAAGACGTAGGCTAGAATCTGTGATTGTAAAGTACATTAAATATCCACACCGGTGCGGTGACTGACTGCCACACATTCACCTCAAAATATTAGATTCATCCGTGCTGGAGCCGTGCCGCCGCACAACCCACGCACGGAAGATAATTCCGCAAACAGCTGCAATTGCAGGTTTTCAAACAGAGATGGCGACAAAGAGGCAAAGCTTATGGACTACAGCTTTAAGTGAATGAAAGGCAATAATCAGCAAACAAATAACTTTTTGTTTGAATGTTTCATTGCACTGAGTTGTTATGCATAGTGACATCATTGCTTGATATCTCCAGGAACCGATTAATCGGGTTTTTGAACCGGTTCAATGAGTCGAACTGTCCGAAAAGAACCGGTTCGCGGAAATGAATCGGACTTTGCATCACTAGTCTGAAATGAATCAACTTTGTCGCCACCTTATTTTCTGCTTTTAATATGTGTTGACTTTACCTCTTTTTCAAATACACGAGTCACATAGTCAAGTGTGTTACGATCATTTAGCCCTCTGCCTGTGTTCTCTGTTCGATGTAATGGGTAAAGTCATGTGATACCCAGACACATCTGGCCTTTCAGATAAGTCGACTACACTTTGGATTCGACTCTCGATTCTCAATCCTCGGAATTGAAGAAGTGATTCTTTCTGCGATCGTCATATATTCACCAGGGCTGCATTTATTTTGATTAAAAATATAAATACAGTAATATTCAAAAATATTATTGCAGTCATAATCTAAAATATAATTGCCATTTAAAATAACTGCAATTTATTTAAATAGTCTATATTGTGTGCTGATTTGGTGCTCAAGAAATATTACTTAATATTGTCAATGTTGAAAACAGTTGTGCAGGAATATTTTTGTGGAAACTGTGACATTTTTTTAGGATTTGAATGTAATGCTTTCTTGCTGATTATAAGCTTGACTGAACTGTATAATATTAAATTTGAACTGTAGTGTGTGTTATGTCCTAACGGAAACTAATATATTTACAGATAATTCCTTTCATTTTTTGTAACATCAGAAATGTCATCCTTTCGTTCATCTCATTCAGAGATAAATTATTTCCATAAGTCATACTGTGTCAAATTAGCATGTAGCTTATTCTACAACAGTACCAAAGTCATAAGGCAAACTATTAATCTCCTTCTTAAACTGTGGCAATGTGACTGCGGCCCCTCATGGGTCATTTAAATAGACCAGACAATCCGTTAACGATACATCACTTTCTAAGAGCACCATCATGGCGGCTGTCCATGTAGGAAGCTGGTGAAAACACCTCTTGACAAGAGCATCATAGAACAGCTGACAAACCCATTAAACCCTGTAACACTCTGCAATTCCCTTCAAGAGACTTTATGGAAAAAAGAGCTCTGCATTTTCTCGTAGTGTAGGCCAATTAATGCTAAAAATGGACCACCTTTGACCTCCTTATGAATCGTTTGCAGTGCCGGTCAAGATCAAGTTTGGATGTCTATTCTGTGTTTTCCACATAACAGGGTGTGTGTTCCAGCTGAATTCCATTTGATTGTCACCCACAGACCTACACTGATGCCTCAATGCCATGAACATCCAGGAATAGCATCCTTTAAATACTTTTCTCTACAGTGAATGAAGCTACTATTAGTCTTTGGAATTTGAAATATAGATTTCAAAGACGTGCATCCTCCTCATTCCAGTATATCGGAGGATATTTTTCATTCTCAGCAGTTAACGGCGATCATTCCATAGATGAATGCATAGAAATCAAGACGCTTTTTGATATAAACATTTGTGATCATTATTTGCATATGACATTCGTTTGAAAAGGTGGGGCCGGGATGGGACCGTATTCAAATGTTTTCTGTGGAAACTATGCCGGCAATGGTCCTAATTTTGTTTGTCTTCCATGTCTGGATTCCAGTTGGGACATTAAGGAAAGTTGAGCCTCGTCCCAGGCTTTATCGGTGAGTAAAAATATGGCCTACAAGCTTCCCTGTTCGTCCCTCACTGTTTATATCTGACTCTGGGCTCCAGTGACCTTCTCCCATGTCATCAGGAGCACAAATTTAGCACTCTGGTTTCTGGAGAGACCAAATAGTTAGACAACATTGAAGACGGGGTGAGAATGCCCATGATGCAGATATGGTTACTCTTACTTGAAGAGACATAAACAGAATCTAGTGTAAACATCCCAGTCACTGGAATGCAAATCTAGGAAAGTGACACAGATACCAGGCATATCCCTGACTTCAATAACTTGATGAACAAAGACAGGTTCCAGTCAAGGCAGCTTCCTACAAAATCATAACACAACCTTCATACTCATTGTTTCAAAGCATGAAGGCTTGTTTTTGACAGAACCGAGTTTTACGAGTCACCAGTATAGAGTGGCATGCTGCAGAGTTTTTGTGGGGCGTTGGGATGACACAGAATGACAGTTATGTAGTAGTTGTGCTGACTTGTCTGTGGCATGTTCGTGCCCGCACAGTGGCATCTGATGTGTCACTGCTCAGACACCAAGCTGTTTTTTTCCAATCTTGCTTGGATCATTGTGTTTTAAATAACCCAAAGAGTTCTGACTGATTTGCAATGCTGATGCAACACATAATTGAAAACAACCCACTGATATTTTTTCATGATACATTCTAAGAAATTTGAGTATTTTATGTTTTTTCATACAGTAGATTAAAATATGTAGATGATTGAAAAAAATTTTAGCATGTTTTTATTTATTTATTAAACGAAATGTGCTTTAGAAATAATGCTATCTCATCTCTCTCACACACACACACACACACACACACAACCTTCTAAATTTTGTTTTTAAAAAGTATCATGCTCAACAAGGCTGCACAGTAAAAACAGTAATAATGTGAAAATATTATTACTATTCAAAATATCTGTTTATTTATTTGTTTACTTGCTTACGTCACAAATATGATTTTTCAGCAGCCATTACTCCAGGCTTCAGTGTCATATGATCCTTCAGAAATCATTCTAAAATGCTGATTTGGTGCTCAAGTGACAATTTGTGAAACTGTGACAATTTTTTCAGGATTTGAGACAGACTGTACTGTCACTTCTGATCAATTTAATGCATCCTGGCTGAATAAAAGTATTCATTTGTTTCAAAAATACAAATAAAAGTATAAATAAAATGTATAAAAAATAAACTGTATTGACATCAAATTTATGAACGATAGAAGTCATGATATTCAAGAGCAACTGGCTACTTTTTTTTTTTTACTGAACAATACAAAATGGCAATTAGCAATAAAGTAATGTGTTTGGCACTAATCTGAGGTGGTCTGAAGAGAGAGTTTGTGACCATAGTTGGAGAATAGTAGGCAGGTGGCTAGGCAAGGCCTGTCATGAGGAAGAGTGGAGCGGACAGCTGGCCCTGTCAAACAATGACTTATTCTTCACCATCCACTGCACTATAAACCTGCTCTCAGCTGCACACACACTCCAGGAACTCCTGTGTGTTTGATTGCACGTGGAATTGTACCATTTTTCTCCCCTGACTTGGCATAAATTCTTGTTATTCAAGTGTCAATATGTTAGAGTATCTAGGCAATTTCTAATATTTTAACTTTTTAAAAAGGTTTTATAAACCTGTTTCTAAAGACGGTTGAAAGAAAAGCTAATTTGATTTGGTTGTCATCTAAATCTAATGGCCCTTATTAAAATGTAGTACAGTAGGCTAATATGAACTGTAATGATGGTATTTTGGTGGAAATGTTGTAGATTCATGCTAAATAATTTATTAGGAAGAATAAGAAAATCACATCAGTCATTATACTTCCTAAATATGTTTAGATTGCTATTTCCATTAAAACCATAAATGTATTATTAGATATCCTATTACATTCATGTTTCCATGATAACAGAAAGCGACTGGGAGAGGAAGAAAAAAGGATGCGAGTTGTTGTTTTGAAGGTGAAGGCTGTGAATTGAGGGGGGAGAGAGAGATTATGTGATTATGTGGCGTATGTATTTGTTCCTCAAACCTTGAACTGGAGATACCCAGTGTGTTATCTAAAGATTTTGATTTATAGTTTGTAATGGGGCTCTTTAACGCAGATGAACAGTGTTCAACTGTTCATTTGTTCAGCGCACATCCAGACCAGCAGGTGGCGCTGATTATTAACAAGCTAAAGCAGGATGAACGCAGACAAAACGACAGACGAGAAATACCTTTGTTATGGATGTGAAAATAAGAGATGGATAGACCCTTCAGTGACATTTTATCAACGCACAATGTCTAAACTGCAGATTTTAAGTGTTTTTCTGACAGAGAGATTAACATTAGCTGCGCAGGAGATATTTAAGGCTGTGGAAGACATATTTTCAGAGTATAATGAGGAGATTTGTCGCTCCAGACTGGAGATTGAGCTGCTCAAGAGGAGACTGCAGCAGGCAGGAGTTCAGATGGACTCTGGTTAGTCAGTTCACCCTAAATCTGATTATAATACTTATTATTGTCATGTTATGGTTTTCATAAACATAAATAATTAAGACTTAAATGCTTTTACCCCAGCCCTTTAAATCAGCCACACCAGCCCTTTAAAAAGTGTTAATATTAGATTAATGAGATGTTTAGATCATGCCAAAAGAGCCAATGAAGAACAAAACTTTGCCATTTTTTTAAAATTTATTATGCAGTGGTCTTTGTTATTCACCACGTATCAGTTTTACTAATTTACGTTTTTCATATATATACACACCTGACACCCACCACTTATAATCTTTAAGAACTTAATGTTTATGTTTATTTATTATGTTTATTCATGTAGTAACACAGCTTTGCTCCACTGAGACTCAAGGACAGAAATACACCCAGACATTTTCAGAGGAATGGAGATCTGAACATGACTTGAAGGATACAGCAATGCATATGATCCTAGATATTTGTACAAAGGAGGAGGAGAATGAAGAGGACATGCCTGTGTGCGGTGAATCAGCATCCTTATCACCATGTATGGACATTTATCATGATCAGACGCCCAGCAAAGACACTGAAACCCAAGTGATGGACAGTAGTGAGAATAATTTTCCCTTTATTAACAAAGCAGCTCGAATTAAGAATGAGCCTGAGACTAATACTGAAACAGGTACCACCTGCCAAATACAGCAGAACATCACAAAACAAGATTTGGATGATTCAGGGGCCAGTGATGCGTCCAGTGACGTCAACAAAGTCAAAGTTAGCCACGTTGGCTTCCCCAGACATGAGACACAAACATTTAATGTAAGTCTGTCTATATGGGCAAAATAAATGTCTCTTAAAGTGAAGTATTACTATTTTTGTTGTGTTATAAGACACTTGTATCCATAAATGTGAGATGTCATTGTTTTACAGCTGCCCCTCAGAAATCAAGAGATGTTGACGCAGCATCGGATGGAGCTGGCCCAGATAAGAGAGAGGTACTTGAATTCATTTTTTACTGTTTCATCTGTGCCTATTTGAGTTGAAATTTTGTATTTTTTTACAACAGGATCTGCATCTTCATTGGTTTAAATAAAATATTTTTGTTATAAGATACAATGAAAACAACTTTGTGCATCAAAACCACTCCTTTCCTGGTAAAAATAAATAAGTAAATAAAACTAAAAATGTAGCTTGAATTTTAAAGTCAACCAATTTACATCAGCTGAATGTAGCATTTTTTGACAAGCTAAACATAACATAACATCTCTAAGTAACATGTTTTTTTTCTTCTTTTATTTGTATTTAAGCTACAAAATAAACTTAATTCCGTAAAATAAGCATAATTAACTATGCAAAAAGCATTTCAAATGTCTCCGGCACTTTTTATGATACCAAAAAATCAGACATAGTTCATATATGATTTCATGTCTGTCAAAAACTTAGGATGGCTGCTGGTTGGAATATTAGAACTTAAAACATCAACATAACACTCTCATGGGCATCAATCTCTTCACTGAATACTTGAGTCTAAAAATAATTATTACCTTATCATTCATCTGTTTTTAAATTCACATGATTTAAAAATCAGTACATCGATGTCTGTCAAAAAATAACATGCAAAATACACAGTAGTATTTATGAGAAGCAGAGGTCCAGGGAGAACATGGATTTCTTTGAAAACCCACATTACCGGATGTTTTGACTGTCATCGCTTTCTGAAAAGAAGGAGAAAATGGCGGCCTGAGTGGTTTCAATATGTTGTCTGTCAGAGATGATAATGTATCTAATACATAACGCATGTTATGTATACATTTGTTCTTCACTTGAAGTACTTCACACTGCAAGCTAAAGAGAATAAATGCCAATCCCATTAAAAAACTTTGCAGTTTTGACAGTTTTTTTATGCACAAACTACGCATTCACGTTCTGATTCTAGCATTCTTGATTTGAATTAATAATTCTATTCGAGATGATAATGTATCTAATACATAACGCATGTTATGTATACATTTGTTCTTCACTTGAAGTACTTCACACTGCAAGCTAAAGAGAATAAATGCCAATCCCATTGAAAAACTTTGCAGTTTTGACAGTTTTTTTATGCACAAACTACGCATTCACGTTCTGATTCTAGCATTCTTGATTTGAATTAATAATTCTATTGTTTTTCTTATAATTTTAGCAGTAGATGGACTGTTATGTAATGAATGATCTTGAGATGAATCCCTGTGTTCATCCAAATTGTCTGTGATATGATATATAATATAATATATAATTTTGTTTCAGAATGTCTTTGAAAATCCAGTCCTGTCACTCTGAGTGTAAAAGTAAGAAAAGTCAACCGTCTGTCTGTCAGGATGAAGTGTCAAAATCTGACAAGCAGAAACCCGAAAATGCAAGATACAGTCAGGCCTGGAGGGATCGCTTGAAAAAAGACCCTGTAAAATTTGCTGAGTTCAAAGCTTTTGAAACTGCAAGAGCAAGAGAGTATAGAAGAAAGAGGACTGCTGCTGCTGTAGAAATTGATAAGGATAATAATCGTGAGCGACAGCGAAGATTCAGAACCAAAAAGAAGTTACATCAGTGCAAAGCTGATGATAACCCTCTGCCACCTAAAAAAACAAAAGCCTTAACAGAAGAAGAGAGGATGAAGAAACGAGAGTATGATAGGATAAAAAAAAGAGAAGAGAGAGAGAGGATGGGAGCAGAGAAGAAAAGACAAATTCGTGAAAGAGATGCATCGCGAAAGAGGGAAAAAAGAAACGAGACAAAAAATCTTACTGACACTCCACATACAAACCTTGGCTCTAAATCGTACAGCTGGATCTAAATCTGCAAAACGAATGGCAGTGTTACGGATGAGGGAAAAAATTCCGGCTGATGCAGAAAAGTTGGACATTGTAACCGACTTCATCCATTGCTGTACTCCTCATAAACAAGCAGCTTTGAAAGATAGAGGTCTGAAAAAAGCTTGACGATGAATAGATTTCGATGGCCCGCTTCAAAAAGAACTTCAATCCACATTTGAAGCTCTATAGAAGGATACTTCATCCTTGGAGAAGCAGAGCCTGATTGTCACTAGTTTGTTGGTTGCCAAAAAGTACAGAATGCAACACATTTTAGCAAAGGCGCTTTAATCTTCGTCCAGCATATCTCACTAAATTATCAAAGTCCTCATCCAATGAAAGTTTACGTAAAAAACGAAGGTCTGATGTCACTTGCATGGATGTTGTGAACAATATTTGCTTTCTATTGAATCCTAAGGTATCACAAGAACTTCCTTACATGAGGACTGTAAAGAAACAGCAACAAAGATTCCTCATGAAGATCTTTCTACAGAAGGCCTATGAAGTCTGGAAGCTGGAAAATCCAGAAAATAATGTTGCACCCTTTCCTGTTTTCTCATCGCTTCGACCTTCATATGTTCTTCATCAGCATTGGATGGACTTGTTGTCTTGTCTCTGTGAATATTGTACTGGAGTTTTACTGAAGCTTTAGAACCTGAACAGAATTCTCACTGCTTGTAATCGTAATCATAATCATAATCGTTATACTAAAGTATTACAAGAACTTCCTTACAAACCTGGTTAAACTAGGTGAAATTCAGCATGAAACTCATTTACTCCATTCTGTATGGTGTGTTTCTCTTGGGGTCCTGGATACTCGCCTGTAATAATGTTACTGTGGTGGCTGTATGAATGTTGAAGATGGAAGCCAGTGTTCCAACTCGAATTATGTCCTTCCCTGGCAACGACATACCTTGAACATAGATGCTAAAATAGTTGATTTATACTGGCCTGTGACTGAAGAAAAGAACACCTTACTTCATAATTCTACTACAAGTGAAGACAAACTTTATAGACATTATAGACAACTTCCTAATAAACAAAAAGGTCTCTAAATGAAACCTAATAACTCAGGTAAGGGCTCCATAATGGTTCCGACTTGAACATTCAATGTACTCTTAATAATTTCCTTTTCCATATTTTTATTGTATTTGTGCACAATGTCTAAACTGCAGATTTTAAGTGTTTTTCTGACAGAGAGATTAACATTAGCTGCGCAGGAGATATTTAAGGCTGTGGAAGACATATTTTCAGAGTATAATGAGGAGATTTGTCGCTCCAGACTGGAGATTGAGCTGCTCAAGAGGAGACTGCAGCAGGCAGGAGTTCAGATGGACTGTGGTTAGTCAGTTCACCCTAAATCTGATTCTAATACTTATTATTGTCATGTTATGGTTTTCATAAACATAAATAATGAAGACTTTAATGTGTTTACCTAAGCCCTTTAAATCAGTCACACCTTTTTAAATAGTTTACAGCTCATTGAGGTTTAACGTTAGCATCCCAACAACACGTATTTTATGCAGCGTTCTTTTTTTACACACGTATCGGTTTTGCTAATATACTCTTGTCATATATACATTACACACCTAACATTGTTTTACAGCTTATGATCTTTACGTCTGCTTATTTACTATGTTTATTCGTATAGAAACGCAGCCTTGCTCCACCGAGACTCAAGGACAGAAATACACCCAGACATTTTCAGAGGAATGGAGATCTGACCATGACTTGAAAGATACAGAGATGCATATGAAACTAGAAGTTTATACACAGCCCGAGGATAATGAAGAGGACATGCCTGTGTGCAGTGAATCAGCATCTTTGTCACCATGTATGGACATTTATCATGATCAGATGCCCAGCAAAGACACTGAAACCCAAGTGATGGACAGTAGTGAGAATAATTTTCCCTTTATTAACAAAGCAGCTCGAATTAAGAATGAGCCTGAGACTAATACTGAAACAGGTACCACCTGCCAAATACAGCAGAACATCACAAAACAAGATTTGGATGATTCAGGGGCCAGTGATGCGTCCAGTGACGTCAACAAAGTCAAAGTTAGCCACGCTGGCTTCCCCAGACATGAGACACAAACATTTAATGTAAGTCTGTCTATATGTAGAAAATGTCTCCTAAAGTGAAATATTATTATTCTCATTGTATTATAAAACACCCTTACACAAAAATGTGAGTTGATGGATGTCATTGTTTTACAGGTGCCCCTCAGAAAACAAGAGATGTTGATGAAGCATCGGATGGAGCTGGCCCAGATAAGAGAGAGGTACTCGAATATACTCTTTACAGTTTCATCTGTGCCGATTAGAGTTGACATTTTGTAGTGAAATCAAACATGCACTAGCTAGACTACACAAATCCTTCGCCTGTCAAAAATGTAATTTGAGTCAAAATCTGCTAAAGAGCAATAATGGAAAAACAGTGATTTTTCACTATTATTTACAACAAGATCTTAATTTTTATGGGTTTGAATAAAAAAAAAGTGATGAGACGATAAAAACACTTTTTTGACAAGACATGTCAAACGTGATTTATTTAAGCCACAAAATAAACTTCAACCTGTTTATTGGTATAATGAACTACGCAAAAAGTATTTCACTTAACCAAAAATCAAACATTGCTCACCACTCATGCACGTTATCCCATCCGACAAAAAAACGAAGGCTGGCTGTCGGTTGAAATATTACAGCTAAAAACATCGACATAACACACTCATGGGCTCTTCACTGAATATTTGCTGGCTAAGAAATAAATGATTATTACCTTACCATTCATCTGTTTTCAAATCCACATCATTTGAATTTCACTGCATCAATGTCTGTCAAAACATAATGTACAAAATACACAGTAGTATTTACGAGAAGCAGAAATCCAGGTAATTTATTGAGGTGATTTTTGAAAAATGTCTGATCACTAGTTTGAACAGTCTTCTCAGTTGTTTTTAAAGATTAAGGCAAAAATTTAAGTTAATTTTCCAATAAAAGATTATAAACTTTTACACATGATTTGTTACATTTAATTACCCTTTGCAGATGTATGTGTATATATATATATATATATATATATATATACATACATCTGCAAAGGGTAATTATATATCACACATCATGTGTAAAA